CCCCAAAACCCCAAAACCCCAAAACCCCAAAACCCCATAAATCATAAATGAATTGATAACATTAGAAATATATTCGTAAATTTAGAAATATGGAGGAAGAAGGCTCACCTTGAAAAGAAGATGAAATCTCTGCAATGATTAAGGATAGATCCATGATCTACCTTGACATTGTCAAGAATTATCCCTGCTCTTTTGGTAAGTTGAGACAAATGGCAAAATGAACAGGAAGAATATCTTTATAGACTTATGGGCTAGATTATTCAGCTTTGCGGGCATGGATTTGTTATATTCTATTTTTAAGACCAATTTTATTAGATATTATACACATTCGGGTCTAGATTTTCATATCGAGGATGGTTACTTTTAAAGGATCTCATATGGGAAGAATCCTGACGAGAATCGCTTGGAGTTCAATATTTGAATTCTGACAACTATCTCTAACTTTTATAGGGAAAGTAACAAGTAAGAAGGAGAGGCAGACCAAGAACTTGTGCTCTCAGAATCTGACATATGGAGAAATAGTCTACTCATCAATTGCAGAAGTATTTGAGTTCATCAAAGAGGAATACGGCAGTTTTATGAAACCAGGAGGCACTTTTATTGACCTCGGCTCTGGTATTGGCAAGGGCGTCATCACTGGAGCTCTCCTGCATGAATTTGAAGAATGCCTTGGTGTCGAAATTTTAGATGATTTGTATCAGAAATAGCACTGAATTGAGAGAGGTCTTCTATGACTATATGAGCAAGTTGCTTAAATAAGAAGTCAAATCCCTTTGATTACTCTGTGATCCCAGAAATCAAACTATATCATGCAGATATCATAGAATTTGATTGGGCTCATGCAGATTTTGTGCTGATTAATTCCACTTGCTTCGATTTAGATCTCATGGCTAAAATTTATGAGAAAGCGAAAGCATTGAAAGAAGGGTCATACATCCTGACTCTAACAAAAAAGTTACCTGCTAATGATGAATTTGAGATGATATTCCAGGCTAAGAAGCCGATGTCATGGGCTGATGCTACAGTGAATTTATATAAAAAGGTTAAATAGAACATTGTGATTGGACCACTTGGATTACATAGGAATCCACAGTGATTTTGGGGTCGATTTGTCAGAAATAATTTCAACCTTCTTAATCAGGATTGGGGTTTTGGGGTTTTGGGGTTTTGGGGTTTTGGGGTTTTGGGGTTTTGGGGTTTTGGGG